TTCTTCTCTCTCTAAACGTGCGTGCCGAGCATGCCTGTTGGGGAAGACGTTTGACAAATTGTGCTAGCTGTTGAATGCTAATCATTAACAGATTAAAAACTAATTTAAAGTTATTTTTGATATCGGACAGGTCTGACGCCCAATTATGGATCGAAATCGGGAAAAAGACAAAACCCGCCACACCTTCTGCCAAATTAATGAGTTGGGATGAACAGTGTGGGGGCGTGCACAAATAAAAACTTACTACGTCTGTCACCAATTAGATATCTGGATTTGCAAAGATCCATTCTGTCTGCTGCGTTTGGACTGGGTTCACCATGGCGACATTTCTGGTTGCACTGCCATGAAGGAGAAAAAAATGTTTCTAATTTGTGTCTATCAACATACGTGTCCCTTGTTGAACAAGTGGGTGTGTCGCAGAATGTTAAAAAGCTGAGAAATAAATGATTGAATGTCTGCTCTCGTTTGTCTCGAAGTCTTAATTTTTAGTTTACTTTTAGCGAAAGACATGATGACACAGAGAAAAGTTATTTAATATGTTTGTGAGAAATGGATTTGTTCTTAAGAGTTACCAATATGTTATGAAGTTATGATATATGTTGAAGTTACCAGTATGTTTATTCTGTTACTCTATGCCAAGAAACTTAAAAAAAGAATACTTCGAAAAAGCATTACTTATATTAAACATTTAAGTTATTCTAAGATATAAATTTATATTTCAGATGGAGTCTACTTGCAACTCTAATCAACTGCCTTTATTTCGGAAAACTGGAACGATGCAGAAAATATAACCATATTCCAGTTTAAACATTCATATATTTCATGTAGCAGTGTTGATAAAGTTTCCTTAGTAGTATATTTAACAATAGCATTTCAACGAAATCTCCGTGGCACATTCAGTATCTTGTTTCATTATGAATGTATTAATAAAAATTAAGGATAAAAGAAATAATAAAGAATTTTTTTCCCTTCCAAATTCTTACATAAGTGTTATTGGAACACCGAGTACATTATTTCGTCTACTATATTGTTTGAAAATAGTGTGTAATAAGTTTGTGTACTTTACTGGAGGACCAAAGAAAATATGTCCTGATCACACAAACTTTTATTATGGCGCTTTCAAATTTGTATCCTTAGAACTTGTTTTTAATCGTTTTTAAGGCCTTTTGGCTGTTTTTGTTAAAAATGTTTGGTCTTTTCCTTTTTTTTTAATTTTGATTTGTTTATAAGTTCTTTTTGTTTCTACGATAAGTGGCCTAATTTGTATGTAATTCCAATAAAACCATAGGTAACAACAACAACAACAAAATATTGTTTGAATAAGAATTCAACAAAGCTGTGATGTTCTTCCTTTATTTTATGAAACAATATGACAGTTTTATTTTCTAAACATAAACTAGGTGAAATTTTTCTTACTAGGAAAAAAAGTTCAACATAACATGGATATCATAAACATAATTATGAAACACTTTCTACTAACAAACTGGAAACAGTTTAAATATTCATTACCTTAAAAAAGAACTTCCAGCTACCACAAATTTCTCACGATATTTTTGAAATAGCTGTTATTTTTTTTTAATTATAATTAAATATAAGTAATTCTATAAAAAATATTTAAAAAATAGTCAATAAATAAAATATAAATATTTTTTAATTGCAATATCACTGGGAAATGGTTTGGCAGTTAAAAAAAATGTGAAAACTTCCACAAAATTTTCAACAAGAAATCTACAAAAGTACAAGTTTGAACAAACACACAAAATAACCACCAATTATACAAACAAATAATTAAATCACAGCATTTTACAAGATTTAAAATAAGACATTTATTTTCAAACAAAAGCATATGTTGCACTGATAACTTCAATATGTATTTACTTTACCACAGACGAACCGTTTTAGAAAACAATGCGAAAAATAAGGTTAAAAGTCTCCCATTCATCAGCAAACAAAAACCAGACTCAAACTTTTTATAAACTAGATAGATGTTTTCCTGTGTTGACAAAAAACACTTTCTACTTCCAAAAACAAGATAAAAAAAGATAAATAAATAAAAATGAAAAATCCGGGGGACCCTCTTGCCTAATGGTAGTTTTGCATGAGACATGACATGAGCGTGTTAACATCTGCTTTCGCGGCTTATTATAATAATACCTGACGCTCTGTGGCAGGGTAGATCTTATACTCTGATAACATCTGTCAACGGGGGAGCGCGAAGGGTCCGCTTCGCACTAGCAAGAGGGCAAAAGAGTACCACCAAATAGCTGAACGATGGATCGCTTCATGAAAAGCCCATTCACTGAAAAAAGTCGTGTTTACCTAAGGTGTCGATTAATAATAGCGTTACTAAGTTTAGCTTTCTTGGAAACTCGCCAGATTTAAAATATGTGTTACTGAATAATGTTAAAAGTATCGACAAGTATTACATTGTAACTTTTTCTACTTCTTTGACTTGATTTGATTCTTATGATATAGTTTGTTTGTATAAAGGTGATTTTTAAATCTTAGTAGTGTGTTATAGTGTTCGTTTTATAATGGGTTAATATCTTCCCTTAGTCCACTCTTTTACTAAGTTAAAGCATTAATATTTTTTTCTGTAAATATCTATATATTTATTGTGACTTTTAGTATAGAATCAAGCCCAACTCGTGGACCAGTAGCAACGCATGCAGGAGGACTGAGGTTCGAATTCATTGGCTGCATTGTTGTAATCACTGTTTTTAGAGACTAGAAAATTCGACTGTAACAATGTGTGGTGTGAAAAGCATCGATAATGAACATGGCAGTTTGGAGTTTACTTGATTTTCTGCCTCACGATACGCAAATACGACGCAGGTACCCTTAAAAGTTATCGTAAAAGACATTGTTCTCTCCTCAACATCCGCCGATGGGCTGTTCATATGTCTGAGGCCCACTGTCAGACATATGAACACCACCTTTCCAACAGTTTGGGTTGGTAGGGGTGAGATACGGTGAACAGATAATTTTAAACTAATACTACAGACATTAAATCATTACTCTCAAAAGGATAAAAAAGTTTTTCTTTATTACAAAGATTAGCATTGGTCTTTGATTTTTTCTATACATATATGGTAACTTATATGTATATCACCTTTCTATTGGCAATAATCTTTTTCATTATCAGAAAAGTATCAGACTTTTGGATTTGAATTAATTCAACAGTAATTTAAGTACTATTATTTATGGTATGAAAAGGATTCTGATAGTTATAAACTGATAGTTATGTAACTAGCAGCTCAAAAAATTTTTTTCTTCTTGTTTGAATTAACACAGAATTAAAAACAACATGCATGAATTCTCAATACCTACACCCAACAGAAAAATAGCTATATTACAATGATTTTGATGTGACCTTCTAAGTAAACTAGATCAATAATAATTCATTCCAACAAACATCCCTTTTATTATGTCATTACATTGCATTTTTCTCTAATTTCAACAACCTTTAATAAAGTTATCCGAAAAGTTATTTTAAAAATCATTAACAAAATTAAATATGTACAAATCCTTAAATCCTTAATCCAAAGCAACTAGATTTATAACATTTTTAATAAAGAAATAATATAGTTGAAAATGACGCATCACATTATTAAAATACCTATATTCCCTCTCACCAAAGAATCCTGATGTCACATATTTTTATGGAGCATAAAATTCCGACTTGAAGATGAAGAAAACTATTTATTTAAATTCAAGAAAGCGATACAAATCCAGTTTACATAAAACCAACCCTCTTCTTCCACACATAAAATCGCAAATGATTGTTTCAAAACCCACCCCATTTCCCTTCCCCCGGGCTAATTTGTAACCCTGTTTAGATGATCCCCCCAAAGTATCAGACATCCGATAGACCTAAAGTTAACCCTCCCTGCGGAATATACATTTATATATATCTATACATAAATTTTACATAGACTCGTCAGCGGGTTGGGGTGGTGTGAAAATCTTTCTCACCCACACCACCCGACCTTTATCCCATTTTCTATTGTATTTCAAGTGGTGATGTCCCCCAATCTATTTATAGGGGGGAGAGCAAATCAGGGGCCTTCCTCCTTTTCACTCTTGACCCTCCAGACCCTGGCATCATTACCAGAACTAAAACTCTGCCACATGCAGCCATCTTTCCATTCACTGGATGCAGGGGTAGTAGGGTAGGGACGGTATAGAAAGAGTGTCTTTCACTGTCTGTTCTATCCTGTTCCATCTCTTCCCCCAACCCCCTTCCTGCCCAAATCATCGATAATTTCGTTCCGGAGTACCACAGAGAAAAGGGGATGGGGATGGGAAGGAAGAATCGAAGTTTTTTCTTTTTTCGAATGCGATTTTCGTCGGGAACTGTCCGCGATTTGTTAGGGGTTGCCAAGGAGTTTTGGGTTCTGGGAATGATTGTGGGGAGAGATGATGTTTAGTGCGCTGCTTGGCGGTATTTCGGATTTTATTTTGTGTTGATAAAGTTTCTTAAAAGGAAATAAGGACAATAAACCAGTTAGAGTGAGTGAAATTTTATAGAATAAAATACAAAGGGAAGTTTTAAAGAATTGAATAAAGATGTAATAGGAACTTAAAGTAATAATTGGGAAATATAAAATTTATAAAAATAAGAAAAAGAAAAATAGGATTAAAGTTTTTTAAAAGGAGGGGGGGACCAAATCTAAGGTAAGTAAATTGAAAAAAATTAAAGAATGAAAGTTTCATAAAAGAAAATGGAGATGTAATTTGTAATGGAAAACTAAAATGATGATTGTGGATTAGAATGTTTATAAAGGCAAATTAAATGGAATAAACCTAAGTAAATAGAATGAATAAACTAGTGGCTAACTGGAACCGAATTAACTGGCTACCTATGAATAACTGGCTAACTGATAGCAAAATCATGGGAAAAAATATCAAAGAATAAATGTTTAAACACATTAAAATTTAATACGATAAAATACATTTAATATTTTAACATATTAAACATACATACATTTAACATACATACCTCGTTAGATCACCGAAGTTAAGCATCATTGGGCGCGGTCAGTACTTGGGTGGGTGACAACCTGGGAACACTGCGTGCAGTTGGCAAATTTGGGACCTGAATGGCCGAGTGTCTAGCGCTCTGGCGCTCGGTGCCACAGGTTTCGGGTTCGAATCCCGGCGGTGCCATGGATGTTTGTTTGTAGTGGTTCGGAATCCACTTTAAGCCGTAGGTCCCGGTCTTCTATGACTGTAAGAGCGTCACGGAGCAAAAGTCAGGCTTCTACCTACGGGTGCTCCATCACAACAGAAGCTGCTTCCTTCCCCTTCAATCATGAGTCCATATGGGCTCGTGGGCTTGGCCAGCCAAGTGGGATAAGAAACAACAAACAACAAAAACATATTAAATATTTAGACACATTAAATCAAATTTCTTTCATTATTTTCGAAAACTTTTAGAAAATTTGTATAATACTCTGTATTTATACCATCAGAGTACCAATATCTTCTCACTAATTTAATGCATGGATCTATGTATAAATGGAATTGAATATATATGTAACGTTACAATCATAAAATTGCAAAATTGTTTGAAGTAAATGATATCACAAATTATATAAAATCAAAGAGAGTTTAATGGCTGGGAATACATAGAGGGAATGGACGATAGCAGAGGCACAGAGAAGTTTTTCAAGGGGAAGTGCCAAGGCCAAAGGAATAAGAAATGGCTAAAAAAGAGATGGAAAGATGAAGTGAGAAAGGACCTGAAGAACCTAAAGATCCCAAACTGGAAAATCAAAGCTCCAAACAGACGATTTTAGAGTTGTATTGTTAGGAGGCCATGGTCCAACATGAACTGTAGTGCCGGGGAGTTAGTTCCTGTGTGTGAGATTCCTGTGTATTAGTTTAGAATATATAATTTTCAAGTGAACCAAATAATCCTAATCATGAACAAAATATTTTAATAATAGAATACATAGTAAATTATCGATAAAAAGATAATTAACGATATAATTTTTAATAATAAGGTATATGAGAAATTTTGTATATTCACATTTTAGAATTATTGTGCTGAAAAAAAAATTTGTTAGTGAACAAAAGAAGATCTTTAAACGTTTACAGTTGAAATTACTAGGGTTTTTTTTAAATTCATTTTGTATATTTAGCAAAAAATTCTTATAACAATACTTTACCATTAATTTAAAATTTAAAATTTCAGATTTTTTGAAATAAAGAAAGGTATCTAGTTTTTAGCATTGTGTCCTTTTTTTTTTTTTTCTTTTCACAACCATCAAGTCATTTTTCACTTCGTTGCTACACTTTTCATTAAATTAATTAATTATTCAATGCAATTTTCTCCTTTTTTAATTCTTTCTTGGTTGCAAACATTTGTTTTAATGTGAGATTAATTTCTGAGTTATGATATATCTACAAAACATATTCATCAATCTCAAGTTCCTTTTCTTTATCTGAAAAAAATCAATTTGTAATTTAAAAATATAATTATTGTTTTTCTAACAATGAAAACTGAATAACAAAAAAAACAATTTGTAATTTAAAAATATAATTATTGTTTTTCTAACGATGAAAACTGAATAACAAAAAAACAATTTTTCATTTCAGCAAGTGAGAAAACAGATTTTTAGAATTTATCAATTAAGGTTTGTGTAATTTAAACAAACAAACAATTAAACAAGGAAGAAACAAATTAAAAGTAAACTGAAATATTTTCCCCAACTTAACATCAATAGAAAATATTGGGTATTATTATAATCCATTGGTTAACGTATTCAACTTAATTGCAGATTACTTAAACAATACAACTAACTTCTTGTTCTTCATTGGCGCAACAGCATCATGGAGGGCCAAGGTCGTCTGACTACTGGCAGACTCAACACAAGAGATTCCAGAATACACTCATGGTTATTAAAGTAGTTTGAGAAAAATATTAAATTCTTATAAATTCACTTCTCATATTCTTCAAAGAAACTGGGTCCGTATCCTGGCGATTTCATGAATGTTTGCTAGTGGTTCTGAATCCACATTAAACTGTAAGTCCCGGTCTAATTAGCCTGAAGTGTGCAGATAAGGACTGTACAAACCAATCTATTCCAAAATTCTAGAAGCTAATGTTAAAATAAGGAGAAATTTAATAATAAGGTAATTTAATTGCAATAAAATACTTCCATTAGCAGAACAGTGACTACTTTAGCAGAGTACTAAGTTGGAGTTGAGAGACTTTTCTCAGAAAAACGACTTATAAAAAGCTATCTTGGATCAACAACGAAAAAAGATCTTATAGAAGCTATACTATCATTTAGAAAAAATTAGATTTAACTTTAGGTACCGGTCTAATTAGCCCAAAGTGTTCAGAGAATGACTGTAGAGTAAGAAACCAAACCATTCCAAAATTCTAGAAGCTAATATTAAAATAAGAAGGAATTTAATAAGGAGGCAAAGAGTTAATTTAATTGCAGTAAAATACTACCATTAGTAAAGACAGTGAGTGCTTTAGCACATTACTAAACCTTTGAGAGACTTTTCTCAAAGGTTTTTTCATAGTTTTCTTCATTCTTAGTTTTTTTTTCATAGTTTCATGCTTAACAACAACTTATAAAAAGCTATCTTGGTTCAACAACGAAGAAAGATCTTATAGAAGCTATACTATCATTTAGAAAAAATTAGATTTAACTTTAGGTACCGGTCTAATTAGCCCAAAGTGTTCAGAGAATGACTGTAGAGTAAGAAACCAAACCATTCCAAAATTCTAGAAGCTAATATTAAAATAAGAAGGAATTTAATAAGGAGGCAAAGAGGTAATTTAATTGCAGTAAAATACTACCATTAGTAAAGACAGTGAGTGCTTTAGCACATTACTAAACCTTTGAGAGACTTTTCTCAAAGGTTTTTTCATAGTTTTCTTCATTCTTAGTTTTTTTTTCATAGTTTCATGCTTAACAACAACTTATAAAAAGCTATCTTGGTTCAACAACGAAGAAAGATCTTATAGAAGCTATACTATCATTTAGAAAAAATTAGATTTAACTTTAGGTACCGGTCTAATTAGCCCAAAGTGTTCAGAGAATGACTGTAGAGTAAGAAACCAAACCATTCCAAAATTCTAGAAGCTAATATTAAAATAAGAAGGAATTTAATAAGGAGGCAAAGAGGTAATTTAATTGCAGTAAAATACTACCATTAGTAAAGACAGTGAGTGCTTTAGCACATTACTAAACCTTTGAGAGACTTTTCTCAAAGGTTTTTTCATAGTTTTCTTCATTCTTAGTTTTTTTCATAGTTTCATGCTTAACAACAACTTATAAAAAGCTATCTTGGTTCAACAACGAAGAAAGATCTTATAGAAGCTATACTATCATTTAGAAAAATTAGATTTAACTTTAGGTACCGGTCTAATTAGCCCAAAGTGTTCAGAGAATGACTGTAGAGTAAGAAACCAAACCATTCCAAAATTCTAGAAGCTAATATTAAAATAAGAAGGAATTTAATAAGGAGGCAAAGAGGTAATTTAATTGCAGTAAAATACTACCATTAGTAAAGACAGTGAGTGCTTTAGCACATTACTAAACCTTTGAGAGACTTTTCTCAAAGGTTTTTTCATAGTTTTCTTCATTCTTAGTTTTTTTTTCATAGTTTCATGCTTAACAACAACTTATAAAAAGCTATCTTGGTTCAACAACGAAAAAAGATCTTATAGAAGCTATACTATCATTAAAAAAAAATTAGATGTAACTGTAGATCCTGGTCTAATTAGCTGGAAGTGTGCATAAAATGACCATAGAGCGACAGAATAAAAACAACCAAAGAAACTGGTACTCTTATTTTTCTCATTATTTAAAATAGAACAGACGCAAATGGATTTTTTTTTTTGGCAGCATGTTCTTCGTCAATATTGGTTCTATTTTTCTGAGGAAAAGAACTTCGGCAGAACATTTATATCGAATTTATATTCAAACAAAGGAAACACCTCACATCCGTCAAAATTTTCTATTACGAAATCTTCCCCTTTTCCAAGCACCTAACATGCATTCACAAACAATTTCTTAGAAAAAGAAAACTAGAGAAAAAAGTAAAAGAAAACTAGAGAAAAAAAGAAAAGAAAAAGAAGCAACAAAGCATGGAATCCCCCCCCTCAAAACATCACTTTTGCATTGAAATCAACCAGAAGCACCACCCGAAATCGAAATCGCATCATCTCCTCACACACACACAAAACGGGGAAAAACCCGAAAGTGCTCTCTCTTTCAAAAATCTAAAAATCCCCGAAAATGCATTCGATGCGAATAAAGGGGGTGGGGATGGGGGGAGGAAAGAAGTGATAGAGCGGGAGAGAGAAATAGCCGGAAAAGTGGGAGGAGGTCGAAAGAGAACAACGCAGTTTTCAGGAAAACCGGAGAGGACGGGAAAAGGGGGGTGGGGGAGGGGTTGTTTCGAGTCCCGATCAATAGTTCAACGGGCTTGAAAATTGATGGTAATTTTAGCATCGCTCGGTAGTCGCCTTGGAGGATACGGGAAAAAGAAGTTTTATATTCAAATGCTTCCACGAGGGGGGAGGGGGTGTATGGCGGGGGTGGAAGAGCTGCTCGATTTGCGGGTGGATGGGGGCATTTTGAGGGGGGCAGGGAGAGGTTCCAGGCCTTTGGAAAGCTGGTCAGGCGTCAAATTTGTGCGGCAATCACTGCATCTTCCACTTTCTCTTTCGCGGGGGGCGTGGTTCATTCGGACGAGAGTGGGGGTGGGACAGGGGTTGGCGTAGGATGCGCCCCCTAGTGGTTCATCTCGTGTGTCCCCCTCATCAATTTCGAGGAGGTTGTGCGGAGGCGAAGGGGGTAACCGAGAAGGGTGACGGTGGGACGTTGTTTGGGGCCAAGACGGAGATGGGGGTTGCTGCTTTGTTTTGTTACGAGGTGTCGAGATTTGTCGCCAAATGCTTCGTCGCCATTCCATATGCAAGGGCATTAATTTCCATTTTAAAAAGCAAATGAAACTGTAGCTGGATTGTGATGAGAATTCTAGAAATTGAGCTTGATCTGCAATAAAATAATATTAAATTATTTTATTGTAAATTAAGTTCTACAAAGTTAA